TAACCTGGACGGGGCCCTACCGAGTCAAGGAAGTGGGCGAATTCTCCGTCGTTTTGGAGCACTTGGTGACCCACGAACTGCGGGAAGCGCACACATCAAGAATCAAGCTCTACGCTGAAGACAGCTTTGAAGTGACCGAAGAAATCCTCGAACACGTTTCCGAGCAAGGGATCATGCTGAAGGTCAAGTCCATCGCGGGACGCAAGTTTGTCCCGGATGTGAAGCCTTCATGCTGGAAGTGCTTTGGGAAGGTTTTGAAGATATCGAGTCCTCATGGGAACCGCTGCAGAAGCTCATGCATGAATGCCCAGCCGTGGTGAGGAACTGCGTGGAAGGCGTGAAGACAGCGAGCGAAGGCGATGCATTACTCAAGGCGATGAAGCAAGCGAAAGCGAAGAATTAGCGAGGCCCAAGTGTGTCCGGCGGGACATGGCTTGGGGTGGGTGTTGTGGTGGGCGACTTAATCCAAGTCCCGCCATGACACAGGTGGGCCTCAACCGAGGCCACCGGGTGCCGACCCTTGGCGAACCGACACGAAAAGGCATAGTATTACTAGTAGTATTACTAGTAGTACTAGGACGTAGAAAACAGAACACCTGTCCCAGCCAACTGCCAGAATCTCACTCTTGGTTCTGCAACGTCGTGCTAACGTCAAGTCAATCAAGTGTGTGGTTTGCAGGGAGTCGGCACTCCCCCATTTGGTTGTTTGTGTTGGCACTGGCGTGGGAAACAAACACACCAACATTCACAGGTCAACGAAAACAACTTGGGCACCCAATCGAAAAGTTGGCGCCGTGTGTAAAGGCCCTTATCCGAGACGTGCGGACGTACACTGACAAGTGCAACGGGTCGTTGCGACCGGTGCCCATCGCTCGCGACAACGTCGATATCGATACCTCTTTGCACCCCCGTGCTAGTTGACTCGACTACTACGAGTGCCCCAAAGACGGCAATGAAAACACCCGAGCGGAATGGTACGACCCAACGAAGGAAAACCATTTCAAGGTGCGAACAACATAGGATTGGGTTCAACCCATATCTCGAATGCGACACGACCATCCACGTCACGAACGAAGTCTCGAAGGGGCTGCAAAAGCTCGTGAGTGACTACAAACAATCGAAATACTCGCGCCCGATTGTCTTGGGCGAGTTTGGGTGCATTAAAGTCGTTAACACCGTCAGTGGCATCGAGCAGCAACGCAACTTTTACGACGTACGCTGTTACAAAGTTTGACTAGTGCTGACTTGACATGATGTGTGATCGGCCAAGTGGATGAACGAAGCGCCAGACATGACCGAGTACGTCGTCAGGGGGATTGCGTTTCGAGTACAGTGTCGAAAAGGCAAACTTGATTGACAAGTCTGGTATGGAACCAAACCATCAATGAATGCTCAGGTATGATCATATGTCCATAGCAACACCTCCATTTGCGGCTGCGGACCCTGGTCGGTGTGGCATCGGGTATTTTACCCCAGACGACTGTGACCACGAGGGCGTTCCATGCAAGTACAACAAGTACCCCGAATTCAGTTCTTGGCCGATGCGTTCAAGACCACCAAGCCGTCCACGGTCAACAGCAAGTCGTTCGTGCCGACTCGAACCACAACGATGACTTGCCCTGCCAACTTCCCCACCGTGGCGTTGCCCCCAACCCGCAAAGGTAAGGATTCCGACGCCGAGATATCACTCATGAGGATGCATGGTGGTGGTGTAGTCCCGATTCTGGAGTGCTCAGTGTACCAGCCAAAGTGCAACGGAGGTCTCGCCAACAAGCAACAGCGGTACATGCCCGACAATACGACCGGGGTGGCCAAGTTGCAAATGGATTCGAACTTGGCCTTTAAATTCTTCCCCATCGATCGAGCCATGTGGATGGACTACAATCGAAGGGACGATTTATAGTAAAGTGGTGGCAATAATGATATGACAATGCACGATTTCATCGGTTCCTCTTCTGTGATTGGTCAAAACGAAGCAAAAAGCTAGCCAATCATCACAAAACATGGCAGATGCCCAGTGACAACCATGGTTTGGTCGTCAGTGGTGGAGGACTCGAGATATTGGCGGGAGATTGAAATGCCGCGGGAAATAAAGATATGACACTCTCAGTCAAAACTCAATTGGAAGCACGCAGCACACGCGAAACTAAGGTAAAATGGATTTGAACAACATGTGCTGCCACCTACCACATTGCATCAACCATGACTGGCCCATAGACGACAACATCATGCCCAGAGGTCAACCTCTGTCGGACGACGAGAAGATCGAGGTCCTTGTGCTCCACCGAGAAGACCACTCGGTCAACTACATATCCAAGTAGCTTGGGCGCTCACGTGGGTGTGTGCAAGCATTTCTGAGCGATCCGACAGCGTACGGGACAGCGAAGTCGACAGGACGACCGTCCAATGTGAGCAATGCCATGCACCGGCGTCTCATTCGTGCTGCCCGCACGGGCAAGTACACAGCGGACGAGCTGGTGGAACGACATTCCTTGCCCGTGGGACGCCGGCGTGTGTGCCAGCTGCTCAACAAGAGCGGAAAGCTCAAGTACAAGAAGCGACTTGCCGCGCCAATGATGACACGGGCCCACGAGAAGGCGCGTGTGAAGTGGGCTGCCGAGGCACGTCACTGGGGCCCCAAGTTTGGCGACATCGTTTGGTCCGACGAGAAGAAGTGGAATCTGGACGGGCCAGACGGGTTCAACTACTACTGGGCCGATCTGACCCGACGCCGTGAGCACTTTTCGAATCGTCAGAATGGTGGTGGAGGCGTCATGGTCTGGGGCGGCTTTAGCAGGCGTGGCAAGACCGAGCTGGCCTTTCTGGAAGGTAAACAGAATTCGGAGGCGTATATTGGGACACTTTCCAACTACATGCTGCCATACGCCCACTGGAAGCATCTCAACGAGTACCGTTTTCAACAAGACAACGCTTCCATCCACACGGCTGGATCGGTGTCTGAGTGGTTCAAGGAGCCAGAAGTGGCTGTCGACGTGATTCCGTGGCCTGACAGGTCCCCGGACCTCAACCCAATCGAATACCTTTGGGGCATCATGTCCCGAAAGGTTTACGACAATGGAAGACGGAAGTTTTCGACCAAGGCTGAGCTGATCGACTGTGTTCGCCAAGTTTGGGATGAGATTGACATCTCGTTGCTCGAAAAACTTGTCGATGGCATGCCTAAGCGTTGTGAATTAGTTTTGGCGAGCAAGGGGCGCAAAATTAATCACTAAACATGGATTTTTGGTCATGTGTCATATCATTATTTCCACGTGAATTTGGCTGATTTGTGCTGTGTGCTGGATAGAAGTGATTTGAAATCAACTGAAAGTATTCAAAATGCTCCTCATGTGTGTCCTTTGTATTCGTGGCGGAATTGAAGTCATCAAGGCAATTCTGACTGATACGTGCTCGAGAATATAGCCTGTCATATCATTATTGCCACCACTTTAGCACATGCAGCAGCGCTTGAACTCGACGTGGAACTGGCTCTCAAGCATCGGATTAGTAACTACGTAGAGGGTGACAGATCATGGTTTGGATAAGCTTAACGTTACTCTGATTGACTCACGGGGCTCGATAAAATTGCTGACAAACGCTATTAACATTAGGTACATAAATGGCGTGGGCAACGCTGGTTGTCGTTAACCCACACTCGTTGAGGCAATGCGTTTCCGTCGTGAAACCATTTCGGCGTTTCCATGTACAGTAGTATTAATAGTATAGGAGCTTCGATCCCTCAATCCTTTTCAAACAACAAACCTGTCGCAGCACCACAGCTTACTTCTTGTTCAAACACATGCGCCTTGGAAATGGACTCGAGTGGTGCAATGTGAGTGCCGTGGTTGCCTCTTCTTGAACTTGACCTCCATGAAAGAGACAGTGGCCGACACCTCGATGTTCTCATCGAATCATGACCCACCCGATGTCGCAACGTTTTGATTTGATTGGCTCATGATTTCACGAATAACGCAATTTGATTGGCCAGAGATTTAAATTCGCTTTCCTGCCAGTTGGCAGTTTCGAATTTGCGACGAAGGCGAGAGATGTCGATGACACTGTTCTGCGCCATTGTCAACGACGGCAACGCGATGGAGGTGGAGGTTCATGCGAGTGCTTTGGTGGCCCAATTGAAGAAGTTAATCGCGAAGGAGATGCAGTACCCGTTTCCTGCGTATGAGCTGACGCTCTACTTGGCGAAGTTGGCCGATGGCGAGTGGTTGCAATGGAGTGACGAGGCCGTTGGCAAGTTGAGGACACATGAGGTGACTGGAGTTATTAAGTCCCTGCTGGCCAACAGAGAAATGGACCCGACTTCTCAATTGGACAATCCAGCATTCAACTTCCCCTCAACCGACTCCCAGCAAGGTAGACGAATCCATGTCTTGGTGCGTGTTCCATCCGCGCGATGGGACGAAGTGCGTCCACACAAGAAGCACAAGGTGTCGAGCACGGACAACGACGACGAAGAGAAAGATGAGGCCGTCGAAGGCGTGCAAGGCGCGACGTCCATCCCTCCAGACGTGATTGCATCGATTGAGGGGCGACTGGGACTCTTAAACTCGCAGGACGTTGGTGGTGGCGTTGAACTGGGCATTCACCTCATCGAGCCGGATTTCCCCCAGTGGTTTTTCATGCGACAGGCGACAAAGGACGTCATCAAGACATGCAACGCCCTAGAGCGGGTTTTCGTGGTGCTGAAAGGGTCGCCTGGCGTTGGCAAGAGCATGCTGGTGCTGCTGCTGGCGTTCTACAAGGCCTTGTGTCTCAGAACACCCGTCATGTTGATTCGGAATCGCAAGGGGCCAGGTGGCGGAACTTCCATGTTGTGTCTGGACCCAGTGAACGCGAAGTACTGGCGGAAACATGATGCCACGATCGAAGAACTCAACGGCTTTCGCCGGCGTTACAAGGGGTTTGCTCTGTACCTGGACGGATTCGACAAAGCCTTCGTTTTCAAGCACGGTCTGCAAGAGTTTCGGCTGCTTGCGACGTCCGGGCAGTATCGATTGAAGAGCGACGACGTGCCTCACTATCGGCTCTGCGTCGTGCCATTTTGGTCCAAGCCGGATTTGATCGCAATTGGTCGCCACGAGGGTTGGGACGAAGCTGCAATCAACGACAAATACTTCTACTCGGGTGGAAACTTGCGGCACTTTTTAATGCCTCAACACATTGCAGAGGATGTAGTCATTGCAGCTACTGACTCGATCGTTCCCGGCATGACCATACATCTCGAATCCCAGCACGGAGCTACATCGCCGCATCAAGTTGATACCATTCGAATGACGGGAGTCCAGCCAATGGACCCAGTCACGGATTCGAATGCCGATGGAACCACGAACAACTACGTGAGAATGGGGCAGTGGTTTTATGCGATCACGTCGGAGTACGCGTTGCGGCGACTTGCCCAGATAATCCCGCCAAGCGAATTCCAAGCCATATGGTTGACGGGCCACAACCTTGGAGACGGCGTGTTGAAGGGCATCGCGTTTGAGAATTACATCCACAACCTCGCCATGCAACTCAACAAGATCGACCTGAAAGTGCTCGAGTACCGGCCCAAGCTGACGGCGGGTGTCGCCAGTGTGTACACTGACGAGGCGTTTGAGGCAAAGGCGCCGAAGACCAGTGGGAACAACACCGTCGAGTGCGATGCAGCCATGGTCAGTATGGCGAGTTCGCCCGTGGACTACTGGCGCCCCTACACTCGCAGTTTGCCGACCATCGACTGTGTTGCCAAACTGACCATCAGTGGGCAGGAATGGGTGGCTTTGATCCAGATCACCACGCGTAACACCCTCAACATCGATGTGGAGGCGCTTGAAGCGTATGCGTCGCACTTTCCGCAATGGAAATGCTGCTACATTGCATTGGTGCCAGACAAGGAGACGTGCGATGGGTTTCGGCTTTCTCCAGTCGAACCTCACACCGGTGTGCCGCTGAAGGTGGCATACATGCCAGCCTGGAGCGCCTTTGCAGCCACAAAGATAGAAAAGTAGTAGTAACGTTAATCTCTAAAGACTGTTGCTTTCGAATTACTACGTAACGTTTGTAAGTAAACATCGTCCAATGTCACACTAATTTCATTCACACACTAATTCAATGTTGGACAAGTATATTCAACCAATCAGAACTACAGCGTGATATTTTGGAGCGAATTTACAATAATATGAAAAATACATTTTTTTAAATTGTTGAACTGACTACGGCCTATTTCGAAGTATATATATTATTACACTAGTATGTCAATTCCACACTACTTAATACAGTACGACACCCCTTGCAGTGTTCATTAGCCCTCCTCCTCGTGACTACTTCGAAGTACAGTACATACTCGGTAGATTCGAATACACATGCAACTTATCTTTATAAACGGATGCATATATTTCGAGGAGAGCTCGGTCGATAGATCCATTCAATTGGGTCTTGCTTGAGGTTGCTGCTGATCTCGTTGGATTGGGAACGGGTGCGCTTCCGTGTTGAACACGTACTTGTACAGCGGGATCGTTTCTTCGTCTGAAAAAAGCAGGTAAAAGTACTTGAGTGTCTCGGCCATGAAGAAGCTGTCCATCGTCGGTCGAAAGAACTTTGTCGCAGATGTCTGGTCCACGTTGCCCACGCTCGAGTACCCGCCCGAGTCGAGCCGGGCATTGCGTTCAAAGGCATCGAAAATGAGTTTGCCCCACGCCCGGTAAGTCTCGTTCTTGGTCACGCGGTACATAATCATGAGGCTTTCGACTGTCTCGGGCCTGAGGATATTGAACGCGTCCTGCGGGTGCACTTGGATATCGTCCGCCGTCGTTGCGGTGTTGAAGTAGGCGATTTCAGGCGCCATTTTCGACCCCATTTGGTTGTACATCTAACAGGATTCATATAATAGTATGTAGATTCATACTATCCACAAGAGGATTGATAACATGAAAAACAGTGCAACACCAACAATATTGACATGAAAGTAAAAATAGATTTAAAAAAAAGAGTGAAATAAAAAACGAAGGTGATATCAAAAAAGGTCGAAATCTTCACAAAAAAGTTCTAACAAATCGGCAAAAAGTAAAAATCCTCTGTCTGGATCCAAAATTTGGAGAATTCGAAATTATTGCCAAACATTCGGGTTTTGGCCCTGAAAGTTGGCCATAACTGTGATTGTTTTTTTAAAATTAGGTTGATCCACATCGTCAAAAAGTACGTGAAAACCAACTTCTTGGAATTGCTTTACCAAATTTTCGAAATATTTTAATTGGGCAGAAATATGTGGAGGTGTGCTCCTAAATATAAAAAATATGCGACAGAGTTTCCAAAATCATAGCGACACACATTCACGCCATAGTGGGATGTGTACACACACCTGAAAACACGTGTGCACCAACTCTTGGGCCAGGGTCAAGTGCGACCGCGGCATGCCGTTCACGTAGCCCAAGGCCAGCATCCCCGGCACAAAGCACACCAAATGGTCCATCTTGGGCGAGAGCCCGCGGGCGGTGTCGAGTTCGCCGAGAAAGAGCCAGTTGGACTTTTTCGTACGACCGACGAGGGTGGTCATGATGCCGTTCACGGCGTTGATGTACATGTCCTTGTACTTGGTCGCTTTCTTGTCGGAAAAGAGCCACTAATATAACATGTGTACATTACATTGTATTTTAATACTACACAATAGTACAATATCAACAGAATGGATCAAGTACAGTACTTGTTTGAGCAGGTACTCGTAATAGCTGTCCCCGCCCGCCCCAAGTTTAATCACACCTCGATGGATTCTAGCCACGTTTTGAGATATTGATATTATATATATATATATATATATATATACATCCTTACTTGCCATTGTGGCTATCCACGATCACAGGCAGCACACCTGTGGGGAAATCACGTGCCACAATCTCGGCCACCTAGTAGGACCAAGTCAACTTCAATAGTAGTATTACTACTAGTACCTTGTCCATGAGGAGTTCAACTGTATCGTGGTACTCCGTTTTGCCCGTCAACTGCGCCAAGTACTTGAACTCCAACTGAATAGTCGTGAACTCCGCCACGTAACTGGAGTCGCTCGTCGATCCATCCTATCGGACCCCACTTAGTGTAATATAAGGCCCACCCTGTCCTCAACGTACGACGAGACTGACGAGCGACAGCGGCAGCGCCGTCTCGTTGAGTCCTCGGTGCAAACGCGCTCCCAAGTCGTCGGCCAGGGTCAACAGCGCTGGTCGACCGCACAATGTGTACGCGGACAAGAGGCCTCTGTCACACACAGTTAAGAAGATGACGTGGGAAAGAGAGTCCATATGAGCGTATGGATGCAGTACCCGAGGTTGCGAATGGTGGTTTCAAAGATGCTCACTCTGGGCGGCAGAGGGAACCGCGCGGCCAGGTTCGATTCGGCCCAGTCGACGGCCTCGTTGAATTCGTCTTGAAGTCCCATAATGTACAGACTGTCCAGTGAATCCACGAGGGAGATGGCCATGTCGTGACCCGGCAACCCGTCCTTGACCATGTCCTTCACGTTCAACGAATCGAACCCAAACGCATGTTTGCGGTAGGCACCCCATGCCCAGGACATGGCAGCAGTCACTTGGCGCTGCATGTTTGTATCGTTTGTCAACGTGGGCATCGCGATGAGGGGATGCAACGTCTCACTGGGTGTCACCACTCGCCTTGACGTTGCGGTAGCATCACGCGCATTGGCGTCGGCGGCATTGACTCGACGGAGCGCTTTGTTCTTCGGGATCAAGCCCTCCAGCATTCCGTACTTGGATGCCAAGTACATGACGTTCAGGAAGCAGCAGATGGCCCCAGCCACAAGGACCCACTGGTACCTTGAGCTCATCACGGCCATGATCACAACAAACACACGGCGTCACCAGCGTGTGCAATAATTCGGCCCAAATTCCTCCAAATATTTGCTCAAATATTTCACAAATTATAGCGATTTCTAAATTTCCATTAACCAGAAAAAGCAAGGTGAAACAGGCAAATATTTTTGTAAAGGTGAACCACCTTGCGAATTCCATAAATAATTCTGAAATTATAATTCTGAAATTGTACAGTTTCAATTAAATATATCTTCAAATTTGTATTGATGATTTTTATTTTTCATGTGCCTGTTTCTTTTTGGACAGGTCACCTTGCGAATTCAAAATTCAATTTGTCCAATCAGATGCCGTGAAATTACAAAAATCGCTGCATAGATTCATCACACCCTGTTGCGATATATTCTACACTTGTGATGGCGGTTGATGCAAGGAGCACTGAGATAATTATGTAGGCTGTGTATGAGAGCAAGATCATGCGATGTGGTATTCAGGACTCGGTCAATTCTAACAGGTCTCGTTTCACCACTTGGCTACTAACCCAATGAAATTGGCCATCCCTCATTCCACATCAGTCCCAATTTATGATCAGTGTATGGTGCATTTCAACTAAAGACTACAAAAAAATGCCTTGTCTTTCGACAGCTATTCCAACGTTGTATTGATATGTTTTAGGAAAATAAGCCGTAATAACGATAGAACTGGTCAAGACCAACAGAAGTTACGGTTCAAAATTTCGATTGGTGAAAAATTGATCGAGTAATAGAATTTAAACCAACCAGCCTTTTTGTATGGAAATATATGGAGCCAGGC